TTAGCTGGGCATAGTGGTGGGTGCCTGATCATGAGATCAGGAGATTGAGACCATCCTGGCTCATGTGTCTACTAAAAATACAAAAAAAAAAAAAAGAAATTAGCTGGGCGTGGTGGCAGACACCTGTAGTTCCAGCTACTCAGGAGGCTGAGCAGGAGAATGGCGTGAACCCGGGAGGCGGAGCTTGCAGTGAGTGGAGATCGTGCCACCGCACTCCAGCCTGGGAGACAGAGCGAGACTCCGTCTCAAAAAAAAAAAAAAAAAAAAAAAAAAAAACTCACTGTGGACAGATATGAGAGTTCAAGGCCCCAGGGGGCCCTCATCACAGGGCACCTCGTCACAGGGGAACCCCCAAACTTTTGTGAGTTTTACCTCCAGGAACTTTACTATGTTCGCACAGTGAAAATAGAAGAGAAAGTCCCCTCGTGCTTCCGGCAGGAACAGGGAAAGTAATCATTTTAAAATATGCCAGGACATTCTGTGCTTTTTAACAAGGCCTTCCTTCAAAAGAAACTATTTTACCAGGGCCTAGCCCACTAGGATTTGATTAGAGCCTAATCAAACTGGGGGAAGAGAAATACCCACCTCCAGTCCCTTCAGCCGTCCTGTCCCACCTAAGAGAAAGAAAACCTAAGACGTTCACAGCCCAGGGCCCAGGCTCACTAAAAGACTGAGATCTAATCATAGGACTGTAGAACACATCCCTTCCCACCACACCTTCCCAGCACATCACTAAAGGTCTCTTTACCTCTGAGTAAAAGGTAAAAGTTCCTTTTACCCAGTGCAGCATGCTAGCCTTTTAGCAAAAAATACAAGGCAGATTAAAAGGCAAAAAGCACAGTTTGAAGAAATAGAGCAAGCATCAGAATCAGACCCACCTATATGGCAGGGATGTTGGAATCATCAGGCTATAAATTTAAAACAACTGTGATTAATATGCAAGAACTCTCTTGGAAAAAGTTGACAAATGTAAGAACAGATGGGTAATGTAATCAGAGAGGTGGAAATTCTAAGAGAATTTAAAAAAAAAATGCTAGAGATAAAAAGCACCGTAACAGAAATGAAGAATGCCTCTGATGGGCTCATTAGCAAACAGGGCACAGCTGAGGAAGGAATCGCTGAGCTTAAGAATATGTCACTAGAAACTTCCAAAACTAAGAAGCAAAGAGGAAAAAAGACCGAGGAGTGTGGGGGAAAGAGCAGAATATCCAAGAAATGTGGGACATCTACAAAAGCTATAACATGCATAATGAGAGTACCAGAAAGAGAAGAAAAAGACAAAGGAACACAAACCGTATTTAAAGTAATAATGACTTAGAATTTCCTCAAATTAATGTCAGACACAGATCCAGGAAGCTCATAGAACACAAGTAGGTTACATGCAAAAAAGAAAAGAAAAAACTACACCTAGGTATCATACATTCTAACTTCAGAAAATCAATGATAAAGAACACACCTTGAAAGAAACCAGAGGGAAAAATAACACCTTACCTATAAAGGAACAAAGGTGAGACTTAACATCAGCCTTTTCAGAAGCCATGCAAACAAGAAGAGAGTGGAATGAAGTAGTTAAAGTGTAGAGAGGAAAAAAAAAAATACACCGAGAATTTTGTATCCTGTGAAATTATACTTCAAAAGTGAGGGAGAAATAAAGACTTTCATCAGACAAACAGCAAGTTAGATAATTTGTTGCCAGTACACCTGGCTTGCAAGAAATGTTAAAAGAAGTCCTTTGGAGAGAAGGGAAAGTACACAGGTCCAAAATTTGGATTTACATAAAGAAAGGAAGAGCTTTAGAGAAGGAATAAATAAAGATAAAATAAAAACTTTTACTTATTATTTGATCTAAAAGACATCAGTTTGTTCAAAATATTAACAGCAACAGTGTAGGCAATTATTATAGTTGACATACAAGTGAAAGGGATGACAGCAATGATACAAGGGACAGGAGAGAAGAACTAGGAATATTTTGTCATTGTAAGATATTCGTACTACGCATAAGCAATACAGTATTATTTGAAAGGGGACTGGCTGGGCATGGTGGCTCATGCCTATACTCCCAGCACTTCGGGAAGCCAAGATGGGCAGATCGCTTGAGGCCAGGAGTTTGAGACCAGCCTGGACAACACGGCAAAACCCTGTCTCTACTGAAAATACAAAAATTAAGCAGGCATGGTGTGCGCCTGTAGTCCCGGCTACTTGGGGAGCTGACATGGGAGGATCGCTTGAACCTGGGAGGCAGAGGTTGCAGTGAAAACCGAGATGGTGCCACTGCATTCCAAGCTGGGCGGCAACAGAGTGAGACTTTGTCTAAAAAAAAAAAAAAAAAAAGAACAAAAAAGAAAGCTGAAGTAGCTGTAATAATTTCAGACAAAGCAGACCAATCTAATGATAAACAAGTCAATTCTCCAAAAAGACGTAATAATCCCTAATGCGTATTCACCTAATAAGAGTGTGGCAAATATGTGACGCAAAAACTGATAGAACTACAAAAAAAAATGAATTCACTGTTTTTGATGGAAACTTCAACGACCTCTATAAGAAATGGACAGATCCAGATCCGGCACGCAGAAAATCAGTAAGGACATAGTTGAACTTAATAATAGCACCATCAGTCAGCTGGATCTAAATGACATGGGTAGAACACCCAAGAATAGCAGAATACACATTCTCCTTAAGCTCACACAGAGCCTTCACCAAGATAAACCACACTCTGGGCTATAAAACACGCTTTAACAAATGTACAAGCATACAAATCATACGATGGTCTCAGATGACAATGGAATTAAACTGGATATCAATAATAGAAAGATAGCTAGAAAATCCCCAAATTATTGGAGGTTAAACAACACACTTCCAAATACCAAATGGGTCAAAGAAGGAATCTTAAGAGAAATTTTAAAATACTGTGAACTA